GGAAGGAAGGAAGGAAGGGAAAGGGAGAAGGAACGGAGAGAGGAAGGGAAGAAAAAGAAGGAAGGAAGGAAGGAGATGAGGTGAGATGAGATGAGAAAAAGGGAGGGGGAGAATGGTGACTTCCTGATGGGTTATGACCCCTGCAGGCATTTTTCAGACTCTTCTTCCCTGCCCGCCTCCAGGTCCTCTGCATCCATCTGAAGCGTTTCCGGCACGAAGTCATGTATTCCTTCAAGATCAACAGCCACGTTTCCTTCCCCCTGGAAGGCCTGGACCTCCGGCCCTTCCTGGCCAAGGAGAGCGTCTCCAAAGTCACCAACTACGACCTCCTCTCGGTGATTTGCCACCACGGCACGGCCGGCAGTAAGTCCCCTTTCCTTCGTCTCCTTCGGTTCCTCCAAGTGGATGCCGGACACAGGGCCTTGGGCCCCGCTTCAATTCTCGGCCTCTCGGTCCTAGGTGGACATTACATTGCCTACTGCCAGAACATGATCAATGGCCAGTGGTACGAATTCGATGACCAGTACGTGACGGAAGTGCACGAAACGGTCGTGCAGAACGCCGAGGCTTACGTCTTGTTTTACAGGTAAGGGTGACCTTGTTCAGGTAGTCCTCAACTTACGACCACCTTTCAGCCCACCATTGCACCATCTCCAGGTGATTGGCCCAAAGTCACCTAGTTGCTTTTCATGCCTAAAGTGGGACTAGAACTCACCGTCTCCTAGTGATTGGCCCAAAGTCACCTAGTTGCTTTTCATGCCTAAAGTGGGACTAGAACTCACCGTCTCCTAGTGTTTGGCCCAAAGGCACCTAGTTGGTTTTCACGCATAAGGTGGGACTAGAACTCACCATCTCCTAGTGATTAACCCAAACGCACTCGGCTGACTTTCATGCCTAAGGTAGGACTAGAAGTCACCGTCTCCTAATGATTGGCCCAAAGTTACCCAGCTGGCTTTCACACCTAAGGTGGGGACTAGAACTCCCAGTCTCCTGGTGACTGACCTGAGTTCACTCGGCCGACTTTTATGCCTAGGATGGGACTATAACTCACCATCTCTCTTAGTGATTGGTTCAAGGTCACCCAGCTAGCTTTCATGCCTAAGGAAGGGCTAGAACTCACTGTCTCCCAGTGATCAGCTCACAATCACCTAGCCAGTTTTCATGCATAAGATGGGGCTAGAACTCCCCGTCTCCTGGTGAATGGCCCAAAGCCACTAGCCAGCTTTCATACTTGAGGCGAGGCTAGAACTCACTGTCTCCCACTTTCTAGCCCCGGTGCCTTTTTCTACAAAACCGAAACTCTTCACCTCCTCCTCCCACAGAAAAAGCAGTGAGGAGGCTGTCCGGGAGCGCCAGAAAGTCGTCTCGTTGGCCACCTTGAAGGAGCCCGGCCTGCTCCAGTTCTACATCTCCCGCGAATGGCTGAACAAATTCAACACCTTCACGGAGCCCGGGCCCATCAGCAACCACACCTTCCTGTGCTCCCATGGAGGTGAGGGAGTTTCTTTACGCCCCCAACTGAGCCCCCAATTTATGTCGTTGGGTGAGTTGCGCCCCCTTTTTGCAGGCTCCTTGCCCCAGTTGTTAACCGGATCGCTGCAGTTGCTAAAGTTAGTGAAGGGAATGACTTGGCTTGTTGGAAGGTCACCAAAGGGGACACTTCCACCGTCATAAATATGAGCCAAGGGTCTGGATTTTGATCACGTGGCCCCCAGGGATGCGGCAACAGTCGTAAGTGTGAAAACAGTCCTAGCTCCCTTTTTTTTCCAGTGCCGTTGCAACCATATCAGACGGTCACTATAAGAATGGTTGTAACTCGAGAACTGCCTGTAAGCAAGGAACACAACGGCACGCTCACAGGTGGGGCAAAAAGTAGATTTAGGGAGTTATACGTCACCCCACCTTGATTCTACAATTGATCCTTGACTTACGACCACAATTGAAAACAGGAAATTCATCATTAAGTGGCTTGGTCGTTCTGCGAGGCCTCACGTAACTCCACCTGGTTTTACATTTCCTTGCTGCCTTTCCCAGCTCACTTCGCTTGTCCAGAGCTGATAAGGTCTCCAATAGTGATCCCCTGATCCCCTACAACCGTCGTAAAAGAGCTGTTCTGACCCAAACCTTTTTCCAATAAAAGAAACACGAACCAAAGGGGAACAGAAACCTTTGAATGATTCTTACGAATCCCCGGTTAAAAGGCTGCTGCAAACTAATTAACTTTTGATAAGCACGAGCCTCGCCAGAACTCTGCGAGGCTGCCAAGAATAACAGATAAGGTTACCTAGAAATATTTTACAACACAAGAGTCTTCAAATACCAACTAAGATACTGCGAGTTTCAAAACGTCTTTGCTTCCTGCAAAGAACGTCCACTTCACAGCTGGCTTTTATCTTCTTGAAGGAGGAGCCATTACCTTGCAGCCTTACTCCTGAGTCGCCCATGCTGCAGCAGCTGCTCTTTCCTGCGAGCAGCCCTGCGCGCATGCGCACTTGGCACAGGCTCCTCGGGAACCTCCTCATCGCTGCTGTCAGCCCCCACAATCTCTGAAGGCAGCAGTCCACTCCCTGATGGTCCTGGCCCCTCATCTGAGTCCTTGCTCTCCTCAACCGTCTGCACCTGCTGCCGGATAACCACAACAGTTGCCCACGGATCACCACAATGGTCATAAGCATGAGAACTGGTCGAAAGTCATATTTTTTTTCCAGTTCCATGATGACTTCCAACAGTGCAGTTCTTAACTCTTTGTTTTCTCTTTCTCAATAGGAATTCCGCCGAATAAATACCATTATATTGACGATCTGGTGGTGATTCTGCCCCAGAATGTTTGGGAATACCTGTATAACAGGTGAGGAATTTCCTCTTCCAGCGGTTCAGCCACCGTTGGGAGTTTCTGTTCTTTCCTCTTGGTCTCCTCTCTTCTCCACCCCCAGGAAAACCATTTGCAGGAGGAAACTAACCCAGGGCTTGTCCCCGCTTCCTTCTGTATTCTCTGCACTATCTCGAATTAAGAACTGTTTAATCGTTGTGCTGCTGTTTCATCGGGCATGTTCGATACGGTTTTGCCTCACCCAGGTTGTACAAGTTTCAGTAGTTAATCCTCGACTTGCGACTTAACAAGTGCGCCCGATACATTCCTGTTGCTAGGCAGAGGCAGCGCTTTAGTGACTTTGCCCCCATTTTTACGGCTTTAATTGCCACCGTTGTTGAGTGAATCACCGCCGTTGTGAGTAACAGGGAACAGGGGAAAGCTTGATTCATTTAAGAACTGGGTTTAGCTGCAGTGATTCACTTAAACGGCAATAAAGGTTGTAAAATGGGCCCAAACTCACTTCACACATGTCTCGCTTAAACATTAATTTTGGGCTTGTAAGTCGAGGGCCACCTCTGTTCATTTCACACTTCACATGGCCTCTGAATGAAAGCGTCATGCCCCTGTTGGAGAGGAGGAACAGCCGACAGGGAGTGGAAGTGTGGCTCTGGAGGTTGTGGATGAGGCTGGGGAAGGGTACAGGCTGCTGGGCAGTCAGAGGAAGACCCAGGCCCATCCCCTCTCCATCCTAGGGCACGCAGGGAGGAGAGGATAAGGAAGAGATGTGAATGGCGGCGTGGTCTATGGGGGAGGAAAGGGCCTTGATCCCCTTCATGGGCTGCAGCTGTGAGAACTTGTTAAAAGGACGGACATACGTATGGGCCAGTGCTGGAAACAAAGCATGGAAATATCTCTAGCCTGTCCATTCCTATCTGAGTTTGGCGTCCTTCGCAGTGTGTGTTCCGATAACTGTGGACGTCTTCAAGCCCTTATCTTGCCCGGTTCCTTTAATTGCTTCAGTGTGGTTTGTGTTGTTTTTATAACGTATTGGCATTTTTAGTTTAAATGGCATTTCCTCCTCCTTGTAACTGCTTGCGGGGGAGTTTTTTGTCTCCAGTCAAGGATATTTGGAGCTTGGAAGCAAAGTGAAGGAATAAAAGGGGCTTCACCTGTTTTTTGTGACAGTGTTTATTTTGTATCCCACCCTGGGTCATCACAGAATGGTTATAAGTTGGTGGCTTCCCGTGTAACTCTCTACACCTCCTGATCTCCTGAGTGACCAGGCCCAGGAAAACCCACCTTGTCAGTCCGGAGTAGAGTACCCCTCCAAGCGTTCGATCCCAGGGTGCAAGGCGTTCATTGAATTTACCACCCGGTTTTCTTTCCCTGCTCAGGTTTGGGGGCGGCCCGGCTGTGAATCACCTCTACGTCTGTTCGGTGTGCCAGGTGGAGATCGAAGCCCTGGCTAAGCGGAGGAAAATGGAGATTGACACGTTCATCAAGGTAACGTGTCCCTCCATCCCCCAGAGCTGGCCTGGTATAGTAGGGAGCCCCAGTGGTGGGTTCAATTTTACTTCCTACTTTGCAAGACAAAGAGAGATTGTAGGGCTTGGTCAAAAGAGTCACAATGGTGGCCAGGAGCCGAAATCTATCCATTGATTACGTGAGTAGCCCTGAAAAGCAGATTTAAGAGTTCAACGGCTTCGTTGCGGCAGCCTTCTTCGCTTTGGGGGTGAGATTTTTTTTAGGGGGCCTTTTATAAATCCTTAGTAAGGCCACCCCTGGAATCCTGCATCCAGTTTTGGTCTCCACGTGACAAAAAAAAGATGTTGAGATTTTGGACAAAGTGCAAAGAAGAGCGACAAAGATGATCAAGGGCCTGGCAGATTTTACTTGACTTTATTGTCATTGCACCTCATACAACGAAATCAAAGGCCATCTTCAGTGCACATCATGACCATGACCCTGAAAAAATAAACACACACACCCTTCACGCTCCACACATTGAATTGAAAAACCCCAAAACTGCACTATGTAGTAGAATTGAACAGAGCTACTGCCCTGGGATAGAAGCTGTTTTTCAGCCTATTTGTCCTTGTTTTTATTATCCTGTACCGTCTGCCAGATGGTAATAGTTCAAAAAAAGGGGGTTCCCAGGATGAGATAGATCTTTGAGAATGTTTTGAACTTTCTTAAGGCAGCGGGAGCTCTAAAGCTTTTCCAAAGAAGGGAGAGGGCAACCAATGATCCTCTGAGCAATGACATTAACCCTCTGGAGTGCTTTCCTATCTGCCCCTGTGCAATTGGCAAACCCTACAGAGGTGCAATAAGTTAAGATACTCTGTGTGGTGCAGTGGGAGAAGGTCACCAGCAGTTTTTCATTCAGTTGTTGTTTCCTGAGAAAGTCTCAGGTAGCATAATCTCTGCTGGGCCCTTTTGACCAGGGTGGGGTGGGGGACACATGATAGCAGTCTTCCTATATTTGAGGGGCTACCACAAAGAAGATTGGGATCAACTTATTTTCATGGCCCCCCCAGCCTGACCTCTCTCCCTTTTGTCCTCTCAGCTAAACAAAGCTTTCCAGGCGGAGGAGTGCCCGAGCGTCATTTTCTGCATCAGCATGCAGTGGTTCCGTGAGTGGGAGGCCTTCGTCAAAGGGAAGGATAATGGTGAGAGTGGGGGAGACCCCGGCTTGGGGGGGGAGGCAGTGAGGACCCCACAAAGACGTGAACCAGGAACCGACATTTTCCAGGACGCTGGTTTTACCGAAAGGGTAGCCTTTAATTATCGGGAGGGATTGCAAAATGGCGGAGCTTCAAATTTCCTCAGCTCACTTGGTTATTTCCATTCC